CCCTCCCCCACCACCCTGCATGCATCCACACCTCACCCCAAAGACACCCTGTTTTCGGGTGAGGGTCCCATTCCCAGGAACCCCTGCTCCACCGCTCCAGTTCCAGAAGTGGACGTGGGATTTCCCGCTGGTGACAATGCAGCTGCTGTCGCGAGGACTGAAGCCAACAGCCAGGACTGAGTCATTTGTGCTCTGAGAAGAAGATACTAGATTCAGCCACCCCGAGCCCCGGACACCTTCACTGGACTTGGCTTCATTTGCCTCTGGACGGCTGGTCTGCAGAAGTCCAGCCACCCCAGGGCAGCCTTCCTTCCGGACGCTAGTCCCCTAAGAGCACTACTCCCAGTCACTCCCGATTAGTCACCCATACGCCTGTGAGGTCAGAACTTCCGTAGTCTCCCCTTCACAGCCTCCGAGAGGCTGGAGGCTGGCCCCAGGTAACCCAGCCAGCCAGAGAGGAGGTAAATGTACAGCTAAATCTGGACCCTCCGCACCCCACCACTCCCGCCTCCCCATCCGCGGTGCGCTGCAGGCCACCTGAACTCACCTTGATCTCAGCCAGCTTCGCGCCCCGGTTGCAGTCCCACACTGACAGCATGTGCTCATTAGAATCATCCACCACACAAAGAAAAGCGCCCTGGTCCTGAGGACGGGGACACATCGGAAGGGCTGAGTGAGGCCTAGAGGTCGGGTCATTAGGCACGGAGTAGGATGGCACAAGAAGTGGACACATGTCCCTTTCTCAGGCGAACTGGCTGGGCGGGGCTCAGGAAGGCCAGAACTTCTGAGGCCTTCTAGTGAAGTACAAGAACAGGGTCCCCGGACAACGAAGATGGGGGAGTCAAGAGGCTTTGGGGTCAGCTCACCGCAACTGAAAAGGCCAGGGCCCCCACACCCCGCTCGAAGGCCCCCAGTCCAATCTCCTGCAGCTTCAGCAGCGTCTCGGAGTCCCAGACGTGAACCACAGGCTGCAGGGGCTGAAGTGGGAGAAGGGGTCAGAGATGAGAAAGAAAGCTGGGCCGGCAGTGCATCCCGTCTACCTGAGTTTGATTTTGGCCTCACCTTTCCATCCTTATCCACTCCAGCCGTCTGTCCTGAGGCCACACGCACACCATCAGGGTGAACGGCCAGGCTAAGTGGAGGAGAAGACACTCTAGGAAAGGGGGTCAGTCTCTCAAGACCACCCAGGACGCCTTCTCTGTGCTGGCAGATCACCAAGGCAACTCCCTTCTGCTCCTCCACGCCCGCCCAGGCCCTCTTCCTGCCAAGCCCACCATCCCCAATGCCTAGAGCTGCCCACTCCCAGGCCCCAGGACCCTCACCATCGAACGCAGTCCGTGTGCCCCCGGTAATGTCTCTGGCCGCCACCTCCAGGACCCCCTGGGCCTCCCCCGGGCCGGTACAGCACCACCACACAGGCAATAAAGTAGACCACCTCCCCAGAACGCAGCACGAACAGATTAGAGCGGGAGTCACGCCCCCTGTACCCATAACTGGAGTGGGGATCACGGTCAAGGAAAGGGTCAGATCAAGGGCAGGATGAGGAAAAGGGGAGAAGGACAGAGCTTCCGGCTGGCAGTGCCATTGGCAGAGAACGGGAGGGGAGGATTCATAGAGGTCTCCTTGGCCCCGCAGACCTGGGAGCAAAACGGGGGAGGGGGGTCCCAAGATGGGGAGGATGGTTCTCATGAGCCCGGAGGGGGCAGGATACACCCAGTCAAGGCTGAGGGTCTCCGGGGGTGGGCCGCTGGGCAGCTCCTCAAGGCTGCGGATGCCAGATGGGATGTACATGGTAATTGGGCGGCCACGAAGGAACATCTTCACTGAGATGCCTTCTACAGAGAAAAGGCAGGGTGTCAACCATCACCCTGAAGCCTCCCTCCAGGAAAGCCAGAGCAACACTCTACCCACCATTCCTCATAGGTACCCCGAAGTAGTTCCTGGGGCTATAGCCCAGACCTTAACTCTGTCATCTAAATTCCTCCAGATGCTTCTGTACTTACCCAGATTGTAATTACTCCTCCGTGATCCAGGACCCCCAGGGCTGGAGAGGGGGTCTTTCCCCCAACGGCTGTTGGGAAGAGAAAAAAGCATAGAGATTGGGGTCAGGTCCCAAGATCTACATGGGGAGGGGCAGGACACAAGAAAGGAGGTTACTCAGAAGACCCCAGGACTTCTGCGGGCTTTAGTTTGCATTCTGGGCATTTAGCTCCATTCAAGAAATGAGAAGATTGAGGCTAAAGGGGCTGAGCGCAAGGCACAAGGCCATAAAGCTTGTAAAAGGCCGGGCAGGGTGACAGGGAGGAGCCCCTTCCGCCAGACCGCCAGGTCTCTGGCTATTGACCTTTTCATTTCCCCATCTATAAAATGGGACCAAAGTGAATCCAGAAAGTACACCCGCCCTACCATTCAGAGCTGGGAGGTCCACAAGAAAGTCTCATCTCTCAAGAGAAAAGCGACAAAAGAATTCCCGAGATCACTGTCATTAGATAATAATAATGCGATAATCTCTCTCCAGAGAATAAACACTCAGGTGTCCTGGGACCTACACACACTCTGACACAACCTGCTCAGACACCAGGGTTTCCCCTTGCTCCCTAGAAGTAAAGCCTGGTCGATGGGTGGGGTGGCGGGCCGAAGCTCTGAGGACAGTCGCCCATGAACATCATGGGAGCGTTTGGAAAAGCCTCTTGGAATCCTGGGAGGTATGCCGTGATACGGTGGAAAGGGCAGAGGAACTGGAGTCAGGAAGAGTTCGGTTCAAATCCTGGCTCTGGCTGTGTGACCCCAGGCAAATGACTTACCCTCTCTGAGCCTGCTTCCTCACCTGGACAATGAACAGCATGAGACCACCTACCCCCCAAGGATGTCGTGGGGACTGAATGAGATGGAGGAGGTCGAGGGTTTGGCACAGTGCCGGGTACACAGCAGGCGCCCCAGGAGAGCTTGTTCCTTTCTTCCTGTTGGGCGATGAGGTCCCCCCACCCCGCCCAGGGAAGCGAGTGAGGGATGAGGAAAGTCAAGAGCCTGAGCCTGGGCTGGGGCGGGTTGGGGGAGCCTCGCCCACCTCTCTGTGCTCCCTGACCGCAACAACAGGTTGGCCGAGGAAGCCGCCTTCCGGGAGAGTTTCTGCCGAGGCCGCTCTGAGGGGGATGAGGAGGAGGAGGAATTTCTCCGTGCCCTGACAGGAGCACAGTGAGCAGGTGAAGGTCATTCCCTCTAATCATGCTCCCTGGTCCTCCCTCTCCTCCCGGCCTCTGCCACAGGACACTCACGAGTCAGCACGCTGTAGGGGCTGCACAAGCCTGAGGATCCCTGGGGAGCCAGTGCCCCCAGGAGAGCCAGTGCCACTGCTGCTGCTGCCCCCTCCTTCAGACTGGGTCCCACTAGGCTCTTCACTGCTCCCCTGAGGGGCTGGGGGCCCATTGCTGAGGCCAGGGGGTCCAGGAGACATCTCCATCTCCACCTCTGTCTCTGTCTGGGTGCCTCGACTCACCAAGGAGGGGCTGCATGTTGGTGGCAGTCCTGGGGGTGCTGCAGGGCTGCTGGGAAGACAGTGAATCAACCTGATGCCCTTAGAGGCCTCTAGAAGAAGGAAGAGGGTGTGACAACATGCATACCTGTCCCTTGTAGGAGCTGGACTGCCAGAGTCATGCAGGGAGGTGGGGAGTGCCTGCAGCCGCAACAGGCGAAGGGCTTCCGCCAGGGCGGCCTTTACCAGCTCCATCTCCTTCTCCTGCACCTGAAGCCGCTGGCTCAGGGACTGCAGGGCCTCCTGAGCAGGGCCCTCGCCTGGGAAAGGGGCAAAAAGCACTCAGAAGGTACCATCACCTGGGGAAGGGGTCGAGAGGATTCTGTCTCTTCGTGACTTCGCATCCATCCAGTAGGACGGCCCCCTTCAAGCAGCCCCAGGCTTGGAGGTTCGCCCAGACGGGAGGAGACGGGTGGTAGAGGATCAAGGGCCTCCTTCTGGCAGGGCAGGCGAGGAAGCTGGCAAAGCTCCCTTCCTGCTGCCCTACCAGCCTCCGCAGACACAGGGCGTACCGCGGAGTACCAGGGGGGAAAATATGGAGTCCTGCCCAGGAACGTGGGAACCACAGCAGGAGGCGCAGGGCTGGTGAGGGAGACAGGGCCCACCCCGGAGCAAGCTCAGGTCTCCAGGAAAGGCACAGAAACTGAGAAGGCGTCACCAAGGGAGAAGGGGGGAACACAAGAGTATAGTCATTCTGAGGACTTAGAAGACCAGAAAAAGAAATCTAGAATGACAGGAGAGGACATCGGTGGAGACAGAGTCATAGTGAAGGTCGCAGGGTAACGGTGGGGGCCAGAAGTAAAAAGACGCGAAATACCAGCAGAAGAGGCCCAGAGTAATATAGGGGGGCGGGGAAACATTGGGGGTAGCATGACGTTGGGAAGTCCGAAATGACAGCAGGAGGACCCGAGTAACTAGGGAGAGCGACCTGAGGAACAGTGGAGGATGCTCAGAGCTCCTGGGGCCAAGAAGCACGCGGAGACGCCACCAGACCGCCGTCGGGCACCGGCAGCGCCTGAGCGCCCAGCCCAGCTCCGGGAAGG